AATAAGGGTATTAAAAATCTTAGTGTTTCAAAATTTTGGAATCGAAAATGATATGGGAGTGTTTGAGACTCCTATTTCGTGAAGTCAGTAATTCATTTACCGAAAAATGAAATAAACTGGTATATCGCTTATTCGAAAAGAAACAAGTCGCCTAAATTTATCAAATCATATTCCCGAATTTTAATTCTGAAACACTTCAATAGTTTTTTTTTTTTTCAAACACTCCAGTTAATCTCTAATCATTCGTACTAATGCGCAATAAACGATAATCGCATGAAACATGCGACTTAAAATTCATTAGATATATGTAATAAACGAAAACGTTTCATATTTCAGAATTTTGCCAAATCGATGTTGATTATTCGTGTATGTAAAAGAAACCGATAATTGCGAATTTCGATTAAATATAGTCCAAGAATATAAAAAAAACCCCCAATTAATAGATAAATTTCCCAAATAAGTCGAAAAAGATGCTAAATCCGAAGTAATTGAGAGGAAAATATTATCTATCATGCCCGACGGCGAACTATTCTAACAGGTTGGCGTCTGAAACCGGGATAAAGTTCAGAATATCTAAAAGTTTGTTGAATAAGTAAGTTAAATAGAAAAAAAAATTTCTATTATGTCATTGATTCAATAACAGATAAACGAACACTTACTTATTATGACATTCTTTTGGAGTTCTTTCAAGTAATCTAGATATTAGTTTCCAGTCACGACTGTGTTTTTGACATAGCATAGAAAAATAAGCAATCTCTGTATTGTTCCAAGGTCGCATGTTTTTTTGATTCGTTTTCCGAATAAAATAACTCATGTATTTATCTTTAATCATTTTTGCGATATGACCATTTTTAAGAAAAGATTATTGGTGTATCGTCTGATACAATATTTCTCCTTAGACAATTAATAGAATCAATCACAAAATATTTGTAATCATTTAATTACATGATGTGTTATATAATTTTGTTTAAACTTCTTTGATTGATTAATTTAAATTGATATCATATAATACCATCATTCGTCATTCACCTAATTGTAGCAATTATATAAAATATTTGGTAAAAAAAATGCAATTGGTGAGAAATATATGCATGTGATTACTTTTAAGAATACAAGAATCAATCGTGATTACAAATTTGAATTTTTGGCTTACATGAAAAAAAAAAAAAAACCCTCATAAGGTCTTTCAATTAGTATGTGGCAGTAATTTTTCTGCTGGAAAACATTAAAAAAATGTTACAAAGCCCTAAGAAGTAATTGATAATTAGAATAATTATAATGATTGGTTTTTTAATAAAGTATGTACTTGAAACATATATCCCTGATAGGATTAAAAATATTCCTGATCGGATTAAAGTAAACCATAAAGCAAATTGAGCCGTTGGTTTTACATAGGTTATTTGAAACATGTTTATCGATCGGATTAAGGTAAATTTTGAACAAATTAAGCTGTTGGTTTTGAATACAGTACAATTAAAATTAGACATACCTTCACGTGGTGAATAGATGCACATTTATACGTAACATAATATAACCAAAATAGGTATTTTCCAAAAAAAAAGGTTCATGTGCGATACAATTGGATTTTATTTATATTAAAGAATTTATTATATGAATAAATGAACTAACGAATATGTTAGTTTTATGATTGTTTCAAGTTATTTTGACTTATGCATCGAAAGCACCAATACGATCTTAAATTCTACATGTATTCTTAGCTACTTTATTTGTGATAAAATTTTCACAAATTTAAAAATAATAAATATATTTGATTTATTTGTGCCGTGAATCCTTCGTAAACCGTTTTAATCAATACCAATTTTGGTAATTCGGGCTACCACGGTCAAGAGACATGATTAGGTTAGGTCGACAAATATCCTAAGGTCCGGGGCACGAGGTCACGGGCATGCTTTTAAGATATGTCTAGGGGTATACTTTACCCTTTTTCAAACAATATTATATAAATTACTTAAATCAAAAAAGTCGGGCATGTCTAATCTTTACATGTGCCTTGAACTCTAATCCCTTTATTTATCTGTTTTCTTTCTCTGCTGCCTTATTTATTCCTTAAAATCTACAAGTATTCAAGTAGTCTCATGTTCAAAAATTCAAGGCACTTATCACGATTTTCGTTATACTTTAATAACAAATTAGCCTAAACTAGCCTATCACCTAACCCTAACACTAACCCTAACGTAGGCCGAACACTTAATCATGTGATGTGATTATCATGAAGATTTCACTGGACTCATTGATCTTCAACATTTCCCCACTGGAAGTGCTAAGTGCTGTATTGCGATTGCCTCACAGATCAGCACGCATTTGTAATTTTCGCCGGAAATTAAAATTTATTTTAATGTTAATGAGCAGCCACGATTCCTAGCCTAAATTTTTACTGTGTCACCAATCTTGCTTTTTCCACTCAAGTGTTCTTGTCATAAATACGTCACAAGTCATACAAACATATTGTCGAAAACAATGGGATTTTTGTACTTCTCACAAATGTATCACTCATTCTAAGACGATCCAAATGTAACCAACACGTGTATACATACCAGGTAACAAATCTTGCATACATAGTACGGATATACAATTAGTAAAATTGCAGAATTAGAACATCAAATCACATATTATGATCGCCACCAGTGTTGGCAAAATATGGGCATGAAGGATATGAACTATGTTTTTCCTTATTGGATATAAGGAACTTAGTCCAAATCAATCGCTAAACTACAGCTCCGAAGTATTCCAAATAGAGAGAGTAAAAATCGGCCTAATGCTCGAACGAAACTCCGAAATATTCCGAAATATTCCGAAAATTTCAGCAAAGAAATATTTGAATTGTCCATGTCTATATTTGTCCAAGTCCAAATAAAATTTTATTGGACATAGTTTAAATACCAACACTGGACACCACTACACAAATTTATGTTATATGAAGAGATAGCTGCATCTAAAAATTATAACATATGCTAAATACTTATAATTAAGAACTTAAAATAATAACGACATTTCACTTTTGTATGCAGAATTATAATTTATGTACGTTTTTAATTTGATATATTTACACAATCAGTATAGCATGTGGAAGTTTTGCTTTCGAATAAGATTAATTTGAAATATGAAAATAAATTTTTCAATAGCTTCATTGATGACAATTATTGCACATAGCATTAATGATCTAGGTTATGCAGGTAATAAATAATCGTTAATCATTATTGGGGAGACGATAAACATCAGTTCATACGTAGAATGACTATTGTTTACTGTAATTAATTAAAATATTTTTACAATAGGTCAAATAATCCATATAATTGAGTTGATAGTTTGGTAGTTGTTGGAATACTACTTATTAGGTTGATTGGAATCAATGATGTTTATGATCATATTTCTTATTTTAAATAAATTATTGACGTATTTATTTCGAAATAAGTGATTGATAATTCTATTTATTTATTTTATTATATTTATTTTATACGGTGTAATATGTCAAAAAAAAACACAGCTATTTCTTTTTCTGATTTTGGAATTTCAAACCAGAATCAAGATTTTTAGACTCCCGCTTCTTTTCGGAATAAGTTAATTCGAATCACCTATTATCACGTACTATTTTTATGATATATAAATAGAAAATTCATAAAATGCTCATAACAAAATATTACACAATTTTTTTTTTGAACCAAAGAGATACAACTAAAAAATGACACAGTTTCAGATTTTTCTTATGAAGTCAATCCCTTTATATTAAACAACTCTGTTCTTACCTTTAATCTCTTTACTCGTTTAATAAGCAGATGAAAAAACACATGGGAGTACATGCCAAAAGAATTCAATTATTTATATTATATGTTGTTTCTTTAATTAATACGTAATCTAATTGGTTTACTAGTTTCTTTAGTGTAATTAGTTTTAGCATTTGATACGTCATAAATTCTCATTCTAAAAGTGCCTATCAAATATAGCACAAATGATACTTCAATTTATCATACAATTTAATAACTCTCATTGAACTGAATGATCCATTCGTATACCTGCGATAATGCTTACTTTAGTAGTTATATGTGCATACTACGTATTCTAATTAATAATATAAATATATCAATTTATATTTGTAACTATTAATATTTATGAAAGGATTTAATCAATGTTGATTTTTATTTAAAACAAGATTTTTTTCAAATTGGCAAAATTTGTCAAAATTTGTATATAAGTACTTCCACATTGCTTTCATAAAAGGGTCTGCATGAATGTACAGTACGTACGCCTTCATTGTTAAGGAAAATTAAATAGTCATATTGCTCTTATCACAAAATGATAAAAAAGATCGTCCTTACGCCAAATTTGCCAAAAATATCGATATAATCCGGAATAATGTTACCGAATGTAGACGAACACAATGACTGAAAATGGATATGATATGAGTTACGGGTGCCAAGGATTAATGTGAATTTTATCTATGAAACTGTCTTCTGCGCTAGCAAAGAGTTTTCCTTGAGAATTACTCCGGCACATCTAGCAGATACCTTTTAAGCCAAAAATTTGCGGATTTGAGAGGAATCAGGTAAAAGTATAAAGCAATTGCACCTGTTTCATTCTTTATGCCTCAGCCAATGATGCCTGACGAATGTCTCGTCAATCGTCATTGGCGAATGATGAAACATTTTGTTAAGCAATTTATTTGAAGAACAAACTATTGATGAAGCCTACGATTTTCTTTTTCTGTTCTCAATATAAACAAACTAGCTCATGTAAATTTAATTTTGTAGTTAAATGTTATGTTTGCACTACTATCCTACTGTATATTCATTTTCTTCTAGCGCACTCATCAAATACTAACCAATAAAGACATAAATCAAAGAAATGAATAAAAAAAATTTTAATCAGCTTCAGATTTCATGAATGTAAAATTAAACTTTAACTTTTGTATATAGCCTTATTATTATTCATATGCTACAACTTATAAAAGTTATTACGTTTCTATATAAGTCACACCAAGTTTTTCAATAAAATAAACTTCGAAATTTGAATAAAAAAGTCTTCTTTGATTCTTCATTCTGTGTTTCCAAATGTGTTTTTAACACTTTCAATTCTTCATCCTGCTTTTCTAGTTGTTTTATCAACTTTTCGTTTTGTTTATTCTCATCTTCTATTTTCCGGACATAACATTCAAGAGTCACCAAAGATTCGTGAGTATTTATAAAAAGTGTATTCATTAAGGCATCTAAAGTTAGTGAATCATTATTGCTATCGTTTGATGAGCTTGGTGTTTTTGATATAAACGAACCATTTTTGGAAGAGTTTGGCATGCTTAACAATGACGATGTTCTTAAATTATTATTTGGTTACTTTTATTACATGATGAAAATTTTTTGGGATGCTTACTACTTCTAACATATGATGAAAGTGTTTTGGGACATTTACTACGAATTGAAGGTGTAGAATTATCAACAGACTTTCTTTTGTAAGGATTCTCCATAGCTTATAAAAATTCAAATTTATTGATACAAATAAAGCACAATATTTTAATTCCGTGTAGTATTAGGCAATATTTGTAAATATATATCTAAGATCTAATAAGTCCGTTTTGATATGGATAAATTCGTCTGCGTAACCATATTCGCATTTGGCGTTTTGTTAAGTGTATTATATGACAAAGCATTTTGTTATTCATTTAGTTTTCCTCAATAATTTATAGTCTAATTAAACTTTAAATTCAGCATAGAATAATCTTTCCCAATAAATTAATAAATTTGGTTAAGTGCAATGCATAACAATATTGTTATGGAATTTAGTACTTTCTGCACAGAAACGTATAATTATATATGCGAAAATATGGAATATTGTGATCAATCTGGGATGAGTAAGTAAAAACGCGCCAAATTTTTTCCATATAAAGCTTTGAGGTAATTCAACAATAATTTATTAAATTTAATAAAAACTTTCTTTTAATTCAATTCTATAAACTTGTAGAAATAATTTAACGAAAAATTTGATTAAGCTTTTATTATTTTTGACTTAAAGGTTCAAAAGCATTTCGTCAAAGAAGACTTGGTGTTGTTTCTAATCAATTATTCTGATTAGGGTGATTCATAATTAATCTATTTCGAAAATAAGTAGGCCCTATTTCTGTTTTGAAAATTTGAAATCAGAACAGCAGAAATGAAATAGGAGTTATCTGGAGATAAAATAAGTAACCTTTTTTCTTTGATGATGTATTGTTATCATATGATACAATCAATAAAGAACTATATATATACAAATTATCGCTTAAGCTTTTTTTAAAAAATTCTTAATATAACATAGTTATTTTCGAATTATTGATATTTAATAATACTTTTCCAAAAAAACTTTTAAACAAACCACTAAAAAAAGAACTTAAGAAAAAATCGTAATTTTTATTTTGTATGAAAATCGGAGATTCTGTAGATTTTAAGAATCTTACCAATTTCAAATAAATATAAATATGACGAAAATATGAATTAACAGACAATTTAGAATTTAAGAAATTTTCCTCATTCATCTTAACAAAAATCATAGGGTCACATCTTTTGCAAAGCACTATAAATAATGAATCAAATGATTTACATTTAATTTTCCTGATGGTAGTTTTTCACGAATAGTAAGATATCGATCTAATTCAATCGTTTGCAATAGTTCCAAGGTTCATCAATTTCTTTTCGAGAATATTCAATTCCCCGAAAGTTACTTCCCCGCCAACCCATTTCCCCGACATCATAATGCCGACATGCTATTTCATCTAAAGCACATTTTTTCGATAAGATATATGGGGTTTTTGCCTTGAAAATAACCTTACGGTACATGATACTGTAGGGTCATTTTCAAGGCAAAGACGCCATATATTCGACATTACATTTTCAACAATCCTTTTCTTAGACAAGATATTTCCCCGACAATCATTTCGTCGACATAAAATTGACCCGATCTAGCATTAGAGTTAGCTTGATTTAGTGCTAATGTTTGTTAAAAATATATATTGGATAAATAATTGTCGGGAAATGTCTTGTCTAAGAAAAGAATTGTAAAAGCTATGTAATGTCAAATATATGTCTTATCAAAAAAGTGTGCTGTAGATGAAATAGATGTCGAAATAACTTTGAAAAATCATACTGTAATCACCTCAGTAGCTAGCTAATCACATTGAGAGCACTTTTAGCTCTAATTTTAGTGATTATTTATTGGTCTAATTGGTACAAGTATTTTAATATGAGCTCTAGTATAGCATAAAGATACATGTGTCTAAATTTTACAGTACTTTGTAATGAAGTAAATTCTAAAAGTTCAGATCTGAAAATTAATAAACCTAAATTACAAGCATAGTTGAGACAAAGTTTTTGCTAAAATGATTAATAAATTTTAATAGATATAGGACAAATTATTAAAATTACATTCTTTATATAAAAATCACTTACTATATAATTATTTGTATCTATTATATAATTCTAGATACTTTATTCTGTGGCTTTTCATATAAATATTAACAAAACTTTTAATATTTAATTTATTAACTTAAAAAATTTTTCAAAATTTAAACTTAATAATTATTAGTTTATATTTTTTTTAGTTATTAATTTTTTTTAATATTCATGCAATATATAATAGACATACTTTTTAAGTGATTGAATTATAGCATATGCCTGTTTAAGATAATATGCTTTTAATAATAAATTAATATATACTAATATAATATATAGCATATAAATAAGATAGAAATATTGTAACAAGAGGGGTATTAAGATCAAGAGACATATCTCATAATGCAGCAATCAGAATGAGATAAATTTTATATCTTTCAGTTCATCTTACTGAGACAAATATAATAGTATAAAATTTATCTAATTCTAATTACTAGATTATGTGATATTATTATTTACAAAAAATATAAAATTTTACACTATTTAAACTAGGCGCTTGAACTGTTTAAAGGGAGTTAGAAATGAGAATTATATACTGTATTATACTAGTACACTTCTAGTGAGAAATCGCTTGGTGCTTACTTTGTAGTCTTTAAATTTATTTGCACCAGTATGTTTTAATTGATTATTTGTGTTATTCTATGAATTATATGGCTTTTGATAAGGTTATTTCAACCGGTTTATAATAGTCCTGGCATTACTCAAAAAAACATAAAAGTGGCTATTTATGTTTTATTCACGAACTCTAAAAATTTAACACAGATAGTTTGATTTTGCTAAAAACAGATTTGTTTTTTTTTCTGTTTTTAACAGAAGCATTAGGGTTTCGTCATTTTGAGTATAAGGTTTCATCATTTTAAGTTTAAGGTTTTTGCCTTCTGTCAGAAGAATTTGGGTTTCTTATTTCATCTTCTTTATTGTGCAAAAAAGGTTTCGCCTAACAATATACGTCTACCCAATGTAATTAATTTTTAGTCTACTTAGCAATTACAAAATTTTAATGCAATTAAAACAAATAATCTTAGATTAATACATTGCCTCAATCTAACAATTCATCTATTTTAATATATACTTTATTTAAAAAAAATCATTGCAAATTATTCCAATACAATATTAGCTTTAAAGAATATTAAAAAATTGGCTCTTCAACAGACTCGCTTACTAAAACTAATTCAAGAGTTAACAAGTATGAAAAAATAATACTTTAAAAAAAAACATTGTGATTGGGTAACATTTTTACCTGCATTTATTAGTTTCAGAAGATTTTAATAATTTAAAAACTGACTTGTATAAATAACTTGTTTATGTGTCTGATAATTGAGTCGTATTGACGTGAATTGACTTGAACTTTTGCTCGAGTCTTTAATTTCTTTAACTTGCTTATATAATATGGTTTTTTCATTTTTCAAATCTCTAAAACCTAGTCCCAACTCAATGGCTAATTCACTAGCATTTGGTCGGTTTTGAGGTTTAGCATCTAAGCATTCATTCATTAAATCCAAAAGTAGTTGAGGAATCTCACATTTAATTTCAGGTCTATGGCCTAAGCAAATATTTTTTACTAAATTTTCATCATGTGGAATATCATGATATAGAGAATGTCCAGTAAATATTTCTGACATGATAATTCCAAAAGAATAATATCTGATTTTTGAGTGTACTCTTTCCCACCCATATATAATACCTCTGAAGCAATGTAAGGAATTACACATTTTGTGACACTGGCTTACATAGTCCGAAATCAGTAATGCAAGAAAAAGCTATATTTTTGGTAACTATATTTCTGGAATGAAAATCTTTATGCACTAAATTAGCTTGGTGGATTGTTTTAAGCCCATCAGCTATGTAATATAAGATAGCAATTTTAAAATTCCAATCTAAATCGTTATATTTTTTATCTAATAGTTTTCAGAGACTTTCCTGTTTTGTGAATTCTATAATCATCATATAATTACTATCATTTGGATTTTTAGTTATTCCATAAATTTCAATTGTTGACTGACCCCATGTTTATGTTGATTTTTAATCTAAATTATTAATTAGGATAAATAAAATTTGAATAATAATAAAAACAATAATAATAAATTATATAATATATACTTCATTTAAAAATTCTTGTTTTATATCTTTAGAATTATTGAGGCCTTTTAAACAAACATCTATTTGTGCATCTATTTGTGCATCTCGTTTCCAAACATTATTTTGGCTATTAACCCCCGCAAATAAATCTATCAGCCCATACTGCTTTAAAAACAGTGCCAAAGCCTCCTTTAGCAAGATACTTTATATTTGTAAATTTACCAAAAGAAATTCATTCAATGATGTCTTTATATCTATTTGCACCAAGTTGAGTTTGTTTAATAAATTCATCAATGTCAGGATTGCCACTTGTCTAATTACAAAATTCTTTTCGAAATCTTAATATTGATTGAATAATAAGTATAATAATTAAGAGCTACAATTTTAAAACAACTAATACATACCGTCTATAATGAATTGAAAATAAATTAAAAATAAATTAAATAAATTATTATTAGAATTATCACTAATGTATTGATTTGTCTAATGTTTTATTGTAATGTAAAAAATACTTACTCGCAAAATATTTGGATTAGTTAGAATTAATGTTCATTAGAGAATTTACTTTTATGTGATTTACTGTAAAAAAAAAAAACTATAAAGAACTTACTGACTGTATTGACAAACAAAATATTTGGATTAGTTATATTTTTTTTTTTTTTTTTTTTTTTTTGGAGCTTTGACAGTCTTGTCAGAGCTCAAATACAATACTTTATTAATGTAATAAAC